GGGAGGACGGTTCTGCCCCTGCACCTGCCTAAGCAGGTGCTTTAATCCACTGAGCTATTTGGCTGGCCCTTAGGGTACAGTATAGTACATACTATGGAATTAAATTGTATATATTCACAGTGTGCTGCTCTGAGTTGATACATATATTTAAGATTTTTGCTATGGTCTCTGGCATGGTGTTCCTGGGTAGGGAGGGAGGCGAGGAGACTTCCCCATCCTTCTGTCTCTTTCTGCCCACTGCTGGAGCTTCCCTGAGCCCTTCAGTGTTTTGCCAAATTATTTTCATCTCCAGGCAGGAAGTGGGCTCTCATCCTAGTTTTCAGTGCTGCTTTCAGCTCAGCATGGATTTCTATCCTCACTTCCAGTCAGCACGGCAGGCTCAGCCCCCTGAGGTTCACGTAGGCGGCATCCACTCTTATCCCAGGAGAGATGTTTTCTCTTTGGACATCTGTGCATCGCCCCCCCTTGGGCACAGAGGGTAAGACTCCAGCTTGGCTCTGCTTTAGCCACAGGTGTTGATATCATGTAGGAAATTCCTCTGTATCCTAGCTCTGGGTCTGAAGGTCTTCAAAGAAGGAAAGTAGTTGTCATTCTGTAAAACCCACTGAGGTAAATAATCTCATAGGGTTTAGTAAATTTTGCCACCTCTAATTTTCAGATTAAAAAATCTTGCACAATTTGCCCATACCACATCCACAAAGCTAAAACCATTATTTAATGGACCTTGGATTCTCCCTCCTCTCCTAGTCCTTCCAAGGTGCTGGAGGTGGATAATTATGCTTCAATTACTACCCTGAGTGTCAAGCAGTTTTCATACTCTACCAATATAAGTCCAGGAAGTAGCCTGTCTCATCTTCTGGTCCCCTCACTGGTTCATTCATCTTCCCCAGATACGGGGCTCTTTCACTCTATCCTTCTGACCATGAGCCCCTTCTGGGCTCTTCTTTCCTGCTCTGCATCAACGCTGACACTAAGATGCTGCTAACTTGAGCCCCAACATGCTCCTCTTAGGGGCTGGCTCAGCACTTCCCAGCTGCCCTTCCTGTCACTTTCACGCTGACCTCTTCTACCCAAGCCCAACACATTCAAGAGTTAGGGGGCCTTACTTCTGCATCATCCAGGCAGGACAGATTCCTGGGCTCTTCACAGTAAGACTCGGAAGATGGCTCTACAAATGGAGGGGAGCTCAGAACATCTCCCGTGGTCTTTACATTTTGTGTGTTCTGCTGCTCCTTCCCTGCCTCTCTTTGCCTGTTCTCCCTAACATAGCCCTCTAGGTGCATTTGGAAAATCTGCAGCATCTCTCAGTCAGCCATCTTTGCAACAGTGTCCTGGATGAAGTAATTATACAGCATCTACCCACAGAGGGACCATTTTGTAAGTTCTAGACCAGGGAATATAGGCTTCAACCTCTAAACCATCACATACATGTTCTTTATATGTCTGATTATCTATCTATCTATCTATCTATCTATCTATCTATCATCTATCTATCTTGCTTGCCAAATTATATACACTCCAGGCATGAAGTGGACCCTTGTCCTAGTTTTCAGCGCTGCTGGTTGACTTTGAGTGAGAAGCTGAGTCCAGGCACAGACAGTGGGATTCTCACGGCATTTCAAATCCCCTTTTGATCTATGCCCAGGCCCTTTCAGTTTTGAGGAATTCACTTTACATTTCGACTCATCTTTTATCGTTCACCTTTTAAAGACCCCAGTGAGAGATCTTGGCGTCCTTTCTTTGAGTTGGTAGTGCAGAGCTAGATTTTTAACAAACTCCCACATCATCACTCCATTTGGTGTCTTTATGAAGGAATATGATAGCGCCCTCTGGTGGAATATCTGCAGTAACAGGTCAACTTAGTGCCAAGCCCTGTACCCTTGAATGTATTTGGGTATCCACACATGGGTCTTGAGGTTACAATGTAATTAGAGCTGATACCTAGCTGATTTTGGTACAGGGAGGGTGGTCTGCTAATCCAGGTGGGCTCAATCTAATCACACAGGTTTCCAAATTGGAGAGACTTCCCTAGATATGTTCAGAGACATACATGAATAGACAGAAGGGGTCGGAGAGAAGTAATATTTCTGTCTGAAGTTGGAAGGTGCCTTGATTTAGAAGATGGAACCTTAAGGAATGGTGACTAATTTTTCCATCCTTCCAAAAGGAATAAGCTCCTACTGTCACCTTTGTTTGATCTGAGTGAGACTGGTGTTGGATTTCTGACCTGCAGAACTGTAGGTAGTAAATTTGTGGGGTTCTTTTGGGGGGAGGGTCTTGTTTGTTTGTTTGTTTGTTTCTGTATTTTAAGGAAGGGTCTACAGGGTGTTCAGGGTCTCACTAGTAGATTGGACTCATAGTGATCCACCTGTTTATAGCCTCCCAATAGCTGGGAGCAACATGAATACAGCTAATTTAGACAGAAATATTATAAGTAGTCAAACAGGGCTAGGCCCTCAAGGAAGGCTCTCAACATGGAAGACAAGGTGACTTTCCAACCTTAGAAGAGAGAGATACTCCTGTTGTGGGCCAGACCTCAAGACAAAAGAGTAAACAAATGTAGAGTAAACAAATCTATAGTTATAGATTTTTTTAGGGATGGGCATCAGGGATTGATTAAATCGGTATCAATCACCTTGAAAGAGCCAGAAGAAGTCATCAACCCAAACCCCTACAAGAAGAGACCCTGTTCTGTATTCATGTTGCTCACTTCCTGACTCACTTCCCCATTTGGTCCTGGATTTAATAAATTTTACCTGAGCAAAGGTGCTTGTAACCTTATTGGTTGACCATAGTTTTGGCCCACCTCATGCCCACCTAAGGGAGTTCCCATGTTCTCCACCTTAGACCTGCCTCACCACATGATTTTACTGTATAAAAATCCCTGGAAGAGATAGCTTCTGGGACAACCTGCTTGGATCCCCCTTTTGTCTCTCTCTTTTGGATTAAAGCTTTCTTTCCCCCAATAAATATATTCTGCTCTTAACCTTGGTTTGTTCCTAAAATACAAACTTTGATTTTAAACAACACGAACTCATCCCAGGTACATTTCAGGGTGAGAGTTTCATTCCCCTCTATCAAAATGAGCCAAGAAATAAAGAGGTTAAACCTTGCCAGACACACAGCTAGCCAGAATACCCTCTCCACTACTACTTTCGCCACAAAGCTTTCTGAGTATAATTTCAGTATAATTTTCAGTCTCTGGGTTACTCACAAATTATTTCATTGAACGTTCCCCTCCATTCTCAGATGCATATATGACTTCATTTTACCCATGAGGAAGCAGAGTTTTACTTAGTGGGGCTACCGTCTTCCTGCAGCCACGAAGTGGTCCCTTCTCAATGACTTCGAATCCCAGTCTCACATCTACTACTTGTGACTCAGTTTCTCTACTCTGTGTGCTTATCTTTTCAGACATGCTGGCAAACCTTGGCTGGAAAACAATTTGACTTTTCAACCTTCTCCAATGTTCACCTTCATAAGAGATTTAGTATGCCTCCCTTTTGCATTGCTCTCTGCCATATTTCACGTGTCCTGTGTTGTCCCTCAGCCTTCAATAGCCCTGGTCAGACCTCCCGAGCCCGACTGCCTCTGGCAAAGGCTAACAGCATGGTTCCAGAACTAACAGCAGGAGAACAGTGTCTGCCACTTTCCCTTATGCTCTCCTTCTCCTGCTTTGCTTTTAAATAGTTATAGAGACTGTTGTCGAAGTGCA